TATCTTTTCTATTTAGTTTTGAATTTTATTATTTGAAACTAATATAGATTAAGCCAACTGATGAGTCCTTTAGCAGGGATGAAACGCGTCTTGGTAGCTATTACACACCCACCCACACCCACACCCACACCCACATTCTGTTGCGACATATTTTTGACATTGAATTTGCTATACTTTAACTCGCAACAAATATATGCGACACATTTACATCTACAGCATGCAATACATGAAACAATAATAAAAGCAACACCAATACCAAAAAAAACAATACCAGTAATAAGAGGATCATTGGCAAAACCATAATCACGAAGACCAGTAGTACCGTAAATGATAAGAGTAATAGCAACAACAATACAAAGAACACTAATAGTAACAGTAATCAGAATAAAAAGATCACAATAACAGCAAGCATTACTGTAATGTCTATCAATTTTATTTGACGTTGCCTGAAGTATATCACACAATAGGCTAGATTGTGCAGATTCTAAATAACAGTCGACAACTTTTTAGTTCATTTGAATTAAACAAACACATTTCATACTCCACCAATAATCAAATGAGAACGAGAAAGTGTTCATGGCATAGAGAAAAGCTCAAGTGTAACGGTGCAAAAACCGATTTGAAAACGAGATTGTAAAGATCGATACTCATGTAAATAAATTTTATTAATAAGAATCTTACTTTTTTGTTTCAGGTTGTTCAAGACAGGAGTAAACAAATTTTTCAGTGAGACATAAGTGTAACGATTTTTGAGTTTATTGTTCGAAAGAATGCCTCTCTTCCCTCTCGTCCACTCTTTATATATCGATCGTGAAACGAGAGAGAGAGTGTGATAGAAAATAACTTATACAGAGAAAGGAAAAAGAACAGTAGAAACATAAGATAAATTCGCTAGTGATAAATGCTTATATAGAGCATAATATTAGATTGATCATGATGAGCGATAGACACACGATTTGGTAATTAACACTAGATCAATATGTAAGAAGAAAGAGAGTTAGATTTCTCGCTGCCACGGTCTATTTAAACTTTCTCGATTTTTATTAATCGGCCTAGCAAAACGAAAAAAAACGAACAAAAAAGCAAAAGATTACGACTCATAAAATAACAGAAGAACAAAAAAAAGAAAAAAAAAGAAGGATATAATAAAATACATTGATCTCCTATCCTAACAAAGAGTAACATGTTAGGTAACAACGAATGATATGATAAGTTAGAACAGCAAACAGAAACAATCATTCCAAACAACGATGACAGTATATAGTGATGCAAAACACGTTCAAACAGGGTTGTCACAATAAGTCTTACAGCTTTGTTCGCCATTAAGATTCTACTTATAGGTAGAGACAAACAGTAGTTGCTCTTTATTTTCTTAATTATCATTGTTCGTGCAGGCTCTTGAATTATAGTCTCTTTTTTTGCAACGAAATTTTCGAAGATTTGGTGAGCCCGGTAAGTAAGCAATTATTGCTGAAGTTTCATGCCTATGTTAAAGTTTTGATCCCCAGTCATACTACTGTGTAAAATAGCTAGTAAGTTTCCTAAGAAAATAGAATCACAATAGTCCACTTTTTTACCTATAGTAAGAAAGTATTATCGATTTTAATACCTGATTATCAATCTAGCGATTCAGTGACTCTCAAAAAAAACTAAATCACGATAATTAATGCTATTTTAAGCATGACTAATAGCTAGTGCTGTTTAGCAAGACAAAGGAGTAATAATTGGGTTTTTGTAAAACTATACTCATTTCCAATGCTAATATTTCTTTATTGCAAGGTACCTCCGATAAAGCCAAAAACCTACCTTTGATTTGAAATTTTGCTCAGAAATAGCTTTGATAATATTTATATAAGCTCGTAATATAAGCATGATTATAGCGACGCCATGGAGTTCAAAAATGATGTTCCATAAAAAGGTGCTATGAATCTACTATTCAGATTGTAAGATTTTAAGAATTCGATAAAAAAAAGCTGTTAGCGCAATCCTTGTCGGATAAAAATGTGAAACACGATGGAGCTCCTTTGTTGGAACCCGTCTATCATGGTGTGTGAGCCTTTGCAGCTTTTCTGCAACGGTCTGTAATCATATGTGTAGCCTTTCAGTCACGGCCTGTATTATGATCTATGGAGTCGGTAGAGAACATAACAGATCTTGGCAGAGGTTCCACAGACCGTGTCAAGGAGGTTATCTGTCGGTAACTGTCTGAGGAGAAGGGTGCAAAGTTTCTACAATAAACACTGCAACACTCCTTTCAGGTCGTGCTTCACAAAAGTTTAAATTCGGAGACAACTGAAAATCCTACGTTTCAGAAATAGTTATTCTTCGAAGGATCAACAAAGAAAATTGAACTTGGATAGTACTCCAGATTATATGAAAAAGCAAGCTCTTTCAAGTGACTTCTTCATGATATTCTTAATCACCACAGTTGATCCGATATACACATGTGGTTTTGATCGACAAATTTTGAATTGCTTTCTATGATACGTGTTGCGGAGACAGCAAATGATCAAGAACTACCCAATATTCAAGCGAACATAAACAAATTAATTCAGAAGAACTTCAAAATAAATTGATCTTATTCTCTTTTGCCCTTTATTATGCGACAATTATAATAAAAATCATAACCGTATAGTAGAGAACAATAGCATAAGTCCGAGAAGATATAGCGAATTAGTTAACTTGATAGTTTTGCCTCGTCCGGTGCCTCCGCTAGTATCTGTCACATTATATTTCGCCAAAATCGCAATGACTCTATCGACTGTTGACTTCGTATTACACAAGTCTGCCTTGCATGCTATGTTCAATTCTGTGTATTTGCTCTTTGAATCGTAGACATCGACTGCTATAGTGTTATTATCGGATTGCTCACATTCTTGAGATCGAATTATATGTGACCATTGGTTGTAATTGATTAGACAGCGTCCTCGTCTCCCATTACTCGAAGAACATGGTCCAATGTTACCAATAGTGTTGTATGTATCATAGTAGCAGTTCAACGAGGTTTCAGGAAATCCAGGGGACAATGAATCTGACAAAAATTGTGACAGATCTGCGGCGAGTTATTCTCATACAACATCAGTTAATTTTTATTTTCATTCTCATTTAGCTTTCTGTGATGACATAGTTTCTGATCGACCTTTGACAATACCAAAAACATTAAAATTTCGTGCAATCATTTTAGGTATCTTCCATTCCAGAGTTCGAAGAGCACAATCACCGGTGGCATTAAAACAAGTTTCTTTTATCGTATATAAGAATTCAGGTCTGGAAGTGATTTGAATATGATCAGAATTGGAAAGAATCAACTCATTCTTATTTGGAAAATGAACCGTGTACGTTCGGCGCATATAGTCGAGTGTTGCCACAGCTTCACAATTGATGACCGATTCACGTTTGCATCGTGTATCATCTGGAATGACGAAAGGTTGACTCATCAGAAATTGTAGCGTACATCCACTTGTGCATAAAGTGCTGTCCGTGCTCTGTACGATTATCAAGAACAAGACCAAAAATGAAAACAGCGACGTTGACATGACACAATGATAATGAGGACGACTTTCTGAAAATGAAAATGAAGAAATCTTCATCAAAAGTTGGTTTTCGGCATTGATGATGCGACTCATAACCTAAATTTTCAGCGCCGCTCACTTGGTTGAAAAGCGTATTATTATATTCATTTTTCTAAATGTATGAGGAGTATGTTCTTGTTTCACGAATTTGATAAAGTTTTCGTGGAAAGAGATTCAGACGATCGAGAGGGTATGAAAGTATTCACAAGGAATTGAATTCATACATGTTTTTGAAAGCTTCGCTGTAGGATGTGGGCGTGGGTGTGGATATTTATATGCATTTGATCAATCTTCATCTGTACCAACACTCATATACGCCCACATCCTCACCAAATTATCGGCGAAAGTCTCATTGGTGAAGTTCCGGAACCCCAACTTAATTTACTTTGCATTCAGTAATTACAAAAAATTAAATTATTTATATTTACAATAAACTATGTAAACAAAACATTTATATTTAAAACAAATGTAAATTACTGATCATTTAACTTTATAGTAGATATAAATTGCAAATAATGTAGCTAACACGTAAACTAAATTGAAAATAAATATAAATTAACACCTCTAATTTAGTCGCCCAGCCACCGATCTAAATGGTAGTGTTGCAAAATGTTATTTTACCTACGATCATTGATCAACTGTAATAAACGAATCCATGGGTATACTGCGATTCCCTCTCACTATTCCAAATCTTCTCCTGAAAACGCTGTCCAATTCGAAAAATAAGACTATATTTCGTATTACTGAGAAAATACCAAGACTGGTGACGTAGGTTCACTGAAAAGGAGTAGTGAAATTTATTTCTACGCGCATTTTATAATATCTCTCCTCTATTATATTGATTTAACAACAGTAATAAAACGATTCCTTTTCTTTTTAAATATTGACATTTCGATAAATTTTTCATCATTTAATGCACGGTATAGTCTACAATGAAAAAAGTTAACAAAATACAATAGAAATATGACGATTATAAAAGTAAAGTGGATGTCCCTGATAACGACCGAGAAATTTTCATTGTTACAGCTTGTTCATGGCAAATATATCTTCAAATGAAAGTGTTCTTATGAATTCATATTTCCTAGAGTCTCCTCTGTCGAATGATACATTTTACGCTTTTTTCGCTGTTATAACTGCTGAGAATTATTTAAATTTAAAAATGAATTCTCTTCCTGACACGCAACATTAGCTTATTTATTTAGTTGTTCAGTTCAATTAGATACCTTATCTGTTACAGACGCTGGCTACCATGATTTGCGATTTTCTCCAGCCATAAGCTGCTTGAAGAAAATGTATTTTATTATATCGGTGTTTTTCAATTCATAGACTCATGATATCAAGGTGCTTTATTCTTTGTGTTTCTTCTTCTCCCAGATCTTACCACTCATTATCATTACTAGGTGTTCCAAGCAACCCTTTCAGATTACATGACCGGTGAATTTCAATTGCCTCTATCGGATGGTATCCAACAAAAACACGTTTTCCATTTAATTTTTCTTATCATTGACTTAGGAGTGTGGAGGTGGGCTTATGCGACTAAATAGAAGGCCTACATCCAGACTCGCATTCAAATTGTGGCGTGTTGCCATCTAACTTTATTTCAAAATATTTCCTCCTTTTATAGTTTCTTTCATTCCTCATAGTGAATGAGTCAATGGATAAGAGGAAGAGAGAGATAAATGCACATATCGGATATGACAGATAAGTTGAAGCGCACATAAAACAATCGTCAATTTGTTACGTGGAAAGCCCTGCTATATATATGTGCATATTAAGATATAGTGAATGGCTTGATCAGAACATACGTCTTCCTCTCGTAATCTTGATGTTCCATCACATTACATTGAAGATTTTTTATAAGGAAAAATTGTAATTAAAATGAACGGACACTAAACTCTGTACAATTGAACACTGCTGCAGAGAACTTTTAAACGTTCGAAAATATTGAGATCTTAAAAAGACAGCACGTCTGATGGGAACATGTTTTTCGCAAAAAATCGTTTAATAGTAGAAATTCAAATGAATGACGACGTTTTAGAGGTTCGTGTTGGGTGTGCCTACTATTTTCAGTATATTCGAATTTGATGAGTCTTACTTGTTTTCAGTATATTGCACCAGTGAATGCTATTAAACAAAGATTAAAGCAGATGTTTTTCACAGAAAGTGATTCAGTATTAAAATTGCAAATAGGAAGTGGGTGACCATACACATAGTCGCACGGTAGTTCGTTGCAAGACAATTCGTCGCGATGAATTATCGTTGCGATAAATTAGTCGTATATAAAGGAAAGAGTACATTAATTGAATGAAGTGATTTTGTTCAATATGTTATTTAATTAATCACCTTTATAAATGGATCCTTTACAATAATAACACTCTTGTATTACTGCAACCTTTTTTCAAAATATGACAGAAATGTTAATTTACATTTCATTTTTGTCTTATTAAAATTACTCAAAACTTAAAGTTAAATTGTAATTAAAATTCTACGAAGTTAATTTTACAATAAATTTAAGTTTTCTGAATTAAAATATAGCTTAACATGTAAAAAAAATTATTTTTCGTTTTAATAGTTTTTTAAAATAAAAATGCGTTACCTCTCAAAAATGATATCTAAAGAGTATTAAAGACTTATAGAATTTTTTCGGATTATTTATTTTTAGTGTTCGTACTATCGAAAACCTGAAAATCCATTTCAAATGTTTCCAAAACCACTTCATCCAATAGTCGAGTAACTTCGCAAATCACAGAAAATTATCCTAGGAATTACTGAACGCACTATATAGCTCAAGAGAGAACACATTTTTCTTTCATTTCTTCTTGGTTTTTCTTAGCTCCAGATTTTATCAGAAATCGTTTTCTTAAAAGACTTGAGTTGGCTTTCATTTAATAGCAGACTATTTGCATGTCACAGAAGAATTCTACAGAACTATATACCTTTTTCAGGAATTCTTTTACAGAACTAGATCCCTTTTTCTTCAAAACAAATCTATTATCCATCATATCGATCTAGTTATTATTTCATTGAATGTACATTTACGTGATTAATTGAATAACATATTGAACAAAATCACTGAATTGAATTAATGTAGTCTCTCCTTTATAAACGACTAACTTATCACAACGATAATTCATTGCGACGAGCTGTCGTGCAACGAAATGTCGTGCGACGATGTGTGTGGTCACCGATGTCTGTAGTACGCTCCTCATTTAGTGGAGAGTTATACGGATGTATTTTTCTTTTCTTCCAATATACAGTCGTATCCGTCACAGTGTTTGGTTATTTTCGGTTTCTGATACAGCAGTAAACTTCACGTATACGGCTGTGTAAATCATCTTAAATGGCTGTATCTAGTCGTCGTAATGAACGACTTAGGTATTAATACACTCATACTCAAAAATAATATGCTATAAAGTAGAAAAAAGTAAAATAACTTTGATGAAAATAACTAAATATGCTTTTTGCTTATTTTTATATCTTAAAAAAAAGATGTGAAGCGGCAGAAAAGTGTTGGCCTTAAAAAGTAATCACTTCTGGCAACATGGCAACCGACATTTAAAACACCAATGATTTTCGTCGTATCACATCGTTTTCCGGTACGTTGTCGACGGCTGTCGTAACGGCAGCCGTTTTCTGTCATTTTCTGGTCGTTTAAGGACATTTACATACCGTTCTATTTTATATATACTTCATTTTTATCGTTCTGAAGAATATACTCTTTTCCTTTTTTTTCTCTTCAGTTCATCTTTGATACAAATAAGAGTGACAACAGAATTCTCATTTCCTTTCCTATATGCTGTTGCGTGTTAGTAGCATATACAGTAATCTATTTACATTAACAGGATTGACGACATTCTCCCTAGTTTCCATTTCACTTTTATAAAACGTTTTCTACATTTATGACCATCAGTGCATATTGATCTTTCTTTAAAGTTCAATCTGATATATCTAATCAAGAAATTATAATAGATATAAGAATAATCATGGATAATTATAATACAACATTGGAATTTTGCGTCAATAACATTTCTAATGGTAAATCTCTCTTTATATCCAATATTACTTTGCATATATGTGGCTTTATATGTATAATAATTGGTTTACCAGGTCATATTTTTCATTTTATTGCTTTATTGATTAAAACGAATCGAAACGATCCTAACACATTATATCTTATTGCTACCATGATATGTGATTTAATCTTTGTCATAGGTTGGTATGAATTTCATATTTTTATCGAAAAAAAAAGTCGTAATCAATGATTCATCTTTTTTTGAAATGTTAGTTTAAATTAAAAGAAATTCCATAAAATTAACCCATCTATATGAATAAATAGTTTAACCAGACAAAATTTCTCATGTTGATAGTTATCATCTATCTCTCTATTTAGATATATATATATATCAACTAAATCATGAAAACAAATAATAAAAGGAAAAAAAATCATAAATATTAATGCAACTCTATTTTTGTTCTCTTTAATTCTATATATTAACAACTATTTTTAATATAATAGATTTTCTCTGGCTATACGGCGCACAAATGTCGTTTATTAAATATGATCCTCGAGAGATATTTTCATGTGGAATTTATTATAGTATATTCATTGGCTCAACGACATTGTTGACTCTTTATGTAACATTATGGTAGATTCAGAAAGCTTTAATGATTCTTTATCCATTTCGTTATCGAGTACAAGTTCAAGGATGTCATTTGTTATTTCGTATTATATTGATTGCATTCGTAGTTATTGCATGTCTCGTTCCTCGTAATTTTTATTCACATTATAATTCAAAAGCGGCAATATTTATTTTCAAGTTCTCTTCATCGACGCATCGTAGCAGAGTTCGTTTATTTTCAATAATATATGCAATACTTTTTGTGTCCATTCCATCATCGATCATATGTATATCAACCAGGGTTGCCAAACCTCCTGATTTGACCAGTAGACTCCTGGTTTTTCAACTTTTCTCCTGATGAGAATCCTCCTGAATTCAGGAGCTGATTTTGAAGATTTTCTCCTGATTTCTCCTGATCTTTTAATTCTTTTCCTAATTCGATTTCGCAGACATTTTAATGAATAAAAAA